CAGAGTTGCAGCAGCTCATCATTTTAGACCAGATATTTGTAGGTATGATGTCAGAGGTTGCATTATGGGAGACATTTTCCTAATCCCGATAAACACACTGATGAACATCCCATTCCTGATCCGTGTGGGGAGAAATATATCGCTTTGTTTTCACAAGGATTAGTATAAGCCTCTGTGTGTAAGAGTGTATTTGTAAAGCAGAAAAAAGCAGGGACTGTGATGAAGGGAGCGGATGAATAACAAAAGAAGGGCATCTCTCCGGTCAACGGACATGCAGACACTCACAGACGTTTAGCTCTCACATGATAAATGATGGATTTGATGAAGCGCCGTCTTTAGAGCAGAAAACATTTTAAAAAGAAAGAGGAAGACAAAGAATCAGCTGGAGCCCCAATAAATCTTTTTGACCACTGACATCTAACAAAGTTTGATGAAGAAACATAAAATGGTTTGGTTGCACTGAAGATCTTTATTGCTTGTATCCTTCATCAGCTTTCTCCTCATAAATCTCTCCTGGTTGACCATTGTCCGTGTCCTCGGTGTGCGTTTTTACCGTGCATCTATTGCTTTGCTGCTTCCACTCAGTTTGTTCCTCTTTTTCCTGTTTTTTATTCCAGATCATGTCTTTGCTGCAGTTTTCCAACATTCCAGCATTGCATTCCTTGCCATCCTGTTCACTCTGCATGGTTAAATATGGGCCCTCATCCAGACTAGTTAGTGCCTAAAAGAACCAAACCTCTGTCACATCAAATTTTTCTTCATTAGAAACAAATTGTAACCTATTCCTTTTTAAATGAGTAAAAAAAAAAATCTGATCTAAAGGAATAAAAATGCTTCAATTATATTCATTTTACCGGGGTTTTTATGGATACCAGCACCTGTGCCACCAATTATTTAAAAAAAAAACGTGCTTCCTGCTCTTGAAGTGCCTGCATGTCAGCCGCGTTTGTTGCGGTCTGCACAGGTTTGTCTGGCATCATGTTCATCTTACATGCTCACGCTGCCGGATGTGCTGTTTGGGATAAAACACAGCTAAGCTGATGATCAGGGCTCAGTGTCTGAACGTTTTCATTAATTCACTAATCCTGATGAAGAGGGGCAGTCAGCGCCGTTTACTGAGGCGCAGCACTGCAGTGTCTGATAGAGCGACAGTTTATTTCATAAAAACACCGGGGGGTGGGCAACGATGTCAAGAAGGGTAGTTGTCGAACAAAGAGGAAGGCGAACACCGCCACCAAGTGGTCAGTGCTGTAAATGCAGAGTAGTTTAGGAGTTTGACCACTAGGTGTCACTGTTAGACCACTTTCCTGAAGCGCTGACGTCTGCTTCTGAAAACATTGAGGTATGCATGGTGTATCATCTATTAAACATGATCAGCTGAAAAATCTAAATGTGCAAATTAAATATTCCAGTAAGATGTTTTTATATCTCCAGCAACATATTCACACAAACACAGATTCAAAAAAAGGGACACATTTGGTGGGAAATCATCTTTTAAACACCACATGCCTGCAGAGCGAGGGGGGGATTTTGGAATGAAATTAACCTATTTGCATGTAAACTGGCTGATGGAGTTTGTTTGGATCGGAATAATCAGGCTAATGAAGATACCTGGGGACTCTGCTTCATGAGAAATCTCCATGCTGCCCTCTCTATCCTGCGAGCAATCATATCTGTAATTATTTACTGTGAAAGTACATGAAGCGGGATTAATCAAAGAAATCTGACTGATTAAATCTTCAAAGGCAGCAGTGATGCGCAAGGGCTGCCAGGGAAAGAGGGATGTAGTCGGCACTTTTATCCTTGACGTGGAAAAAAGGGATGAGAGTAACCAGGCGGTTCTTTTCAGGAACCTCGATGTACTTTCAGAAAAAAACAGCCACAGTTTGGGGGAGAACGGGTCATCTGAGTTGAATGTAGTTGATAACTGTGATGATGAGAGATGCAGGAGACAAATGTAATACTTTGGTTATTCAAGAATACACTGTGCCTATTGTAAAAATAAAGTTGTAAAATTTTGGGTTTGTAGTTGCATTTTTAACATTTTCTATTAGAAAAACGATAGATGCAGAAATGTAATTGTTAATACTTAATAGTTCATGAGTACAGGATTTGAGTCTGCTTTTCTCCATAGTCCCCTTAAAATATTTTGATGGACTTTAGATCAGTAGTAGTCTGAGCTAAAAGCGGTCCCTCTTCAAATTATTTGTATTTTTATCACCTTGAAAAGCTATGCTCAAAGAAATAGTTTTATTTTTACACATTATTACCAACAACATAAATAAAATGAATTAATTAGCTTTAAATACTAACCCATGCCTTAATATTCAGCTAATATTAATATTGGAAATGTAAAGCAGCTCTAGGCATGAAATGTTATTTTATCTACAAAGATTTAACTAGAATTGCTAGGATATTGGGGTTTTTGTAGTTTGATTTGATTCTAGTTTCATTATTATTGTGTTTGCATTCTTTTGATCAGTCTTGTTCCTGTTTTCTTTAGTTCAGTCCTTTCTTAGTGACTCTAGTTTTATTATGTTTAGTTTGCTTTACTGCTAGATTCATTTTCTAGTCTCTTGTGTAATCTCCCTCGTCTCCATGTGCCACTTTCTCTTTCTCTCTCCCTCTCCTCACTTTGCTTTATGATTTCTCTCCCCTCACACCTGCAACCTGTTAACTAATCAGCCCAGGTCCATTGTTTCAGCATTCAAACTCTCAGTACTTCAGCACCTCTTTCTCAGTCACTCCTCGCTGGTTCCTCCCATCTCTTCTTCCCCTGCTGTTCTGCCCTGGCTCCTTGTAATTTTTATAAGTTTGTTTATATTATTGTAAGTTTGTTTAAATTAAAACCCGACACTTCCGCCTGCTGTGTTTGGGTCCACTCAACAAGAATACAACATGACAATAAATAGACATTGTCTTTGTGTTTTTTTCTCTTATTGAAATAAATTATTAGGAATCAGACCTTCATGTCATTGATACAGTAAATCCTTGATTACATATAGTTAAACACTTTTTTCTCTAAACTGTTTGGTTTTTCTGTGATATTCTATGATTTCTTCCGGTGGCGAGACAAATTTCCCTGCAGGGATGTTAATAAAGTCAGTGAACTTTGAAAGTTAATCTTATTTAGGTGAGTTTTCATTTCATTTCTCATTTCCTTTTTAAATTTATGAAATAACTCACTCAGTGGAAATGAAGAAATGATTGTTTTAGATAAAAAAACTAAATGAATAAATTTCTCTGTTCTTACAGAAAACGTATTGGACTTTACAGAAGCTTCAAAGGGCATCTGCTGTTTCAGAGATGCTAACAAAATCTTTGTATCTGTATTACAAATTATCTAGGAAGATAATTTGTTAGTTTAGATAAATAAAAGTCCCTGGAAAGGGAATGTTATTCAAATCACCTTAATCACCTGTTTTATATGAACCATGCATCAAATATAAGGCCGATCTACACATATAACCCAAAGTAGACAGAATCATAAAGATTTCTCAGTATCCTTTGTGTATTCAGCTGTCATATACATGACAGAGGTTATGTCACGGCTCTGCATTTGAAGGGCGTAAACACTGCCGGGCCACATATAGATCAGAGACACAGAGGAATGTAGCGTCCTGCAAAGCCTTGCAGATGTTATGTCGAGTGTTCATGTAAAAGTTTTATGACTGAGCGAGAGAGCAAATCGTTTGGAGAGAGCAGCGTGGTCAGCTGTCTTTACACCAACAATGCTGTCAGGACATAAACATGTTTACAGGCCTATTTTAAGCCCTTCTCCATTTTAGCCAGAAAAAAATTGGTTCGTAGAGCATTCCAGTAAGATGTGGTTGAGAGATAGAGCTATTTATGCTAATGGTTGGGTAAGGCTCTAGGAAATTTATGCAAGTGTGTGCAATTAGTTTTTAAGTGATGGAGACACATCTTTGTGTGTCTGTGTGTTAGTGTGTAACTGTGTCCCCTGACGAAATGTGCTTACTGCTCCAGTTTGCCGTCCTTCCTGGCTGTCCCTGAACCTAACCTCTACTCGGCACGTTGCCAGACGGAGCTGGTGCATCTGTTTTCTGGGAGTTCGCATTATTCAAATGGAATAAAAGTCAGGGTGCGTGCCTGAAATAAAAGGGGAATAAACTTCCTAAACGGATGCATCGTTAAAAGTGCAATGGGAGCCCGGCGTACCCAGCAGGACAGTTATCACCATTTACACAAAAGGCCACTGTTACATGTTTATATTCCTGTAAGATTAAACCCAACCACAGATTTATTCCCCGCTTTGCGTCAAAGCAGAGAGGAGCTGAGGCCGTCCTGTATATCAGAATTAGATTGACATTTACTCGACGTTGCACCATGCGTCGGTTTCACCTCGGCGCTCGTCTTCTGCTCCTTCACTCTCTCCTTGCCTACCTCTTTAAAATGACACATGCAAGCACATTTCAGATATCTGATCTGAATCTACACCTTAACTGGCAGCGAGGAGGAATTGACATGTGGGGACGGAGAACTCCCACAGTATCAGGTTCACACGGTTTGTGGGGACTGTTTTAATGTCAAAGTTGTGCATTTAATTTTCAGCGTTGCTTTATGTGTGCCAGTTTCGCTTAGAGTCCAGCTTCGTGTGCTGATCCTGTGCTCCATGTTTCCATTTAGTAAAGCCTGTGTGGGCCTGCAGAAAGTCTCCTCACCTTTTTAGTCACTAAAAATTCATTAAATCAGATGATTAAAAACTTGTTAGGCTGCAAAATTTGCCTGGAAACTCATAGAAGAATTACAGCCTGCAGTTCATCTCTGTGTCCACCAAGTCATTTTAGCATTTCCTTCCTCAACTGGAATCTGTAAGTCTAGTTTCAGTGACTCAACATCCCTCCTGCACCCAGTCTGCAATCCCTATTTTCTTTGATCTGCCATCCATTGCTGGGTTTTCCCTCCTCTGTTCAGCCCCTCCTTCCCCTTACATTCCCTCTCTCTCGCTCTGCCTGTATCTCCCCCCCTTCCACAGTTGTCCTCACATATTAGGTTCCCCTGTCCTAAGAAGCAGAATTAGCCTGGAATCTTGTGCACTTGTTTCCTTCAATCCTAGGAAGGAGGTGACGGCATGAAGGGAAAACGAGAGGGAAATACAGACTCTCAAGAGGCTTTGAGACAAACTTAAGGAAGGAGGATAAATTGTGTGAAGGGAAGATGAACATGCAGATGCTTGTTGTTTGATGCGGCTTCACTGAAGGCATGTGGCTGCCTGCACACAGTGTTTCCCTCCACACTCTCCAGCCGACTGGTGGAAGATCTGCATTCATGTGGCTGAGTGCTACATGATTTATCCACCCAAAATAACGTGAGAATACTTTCTTTGCTCCACTCTACGCGGACGTATCCGTACTACTTTATGCCGGCTGACGCACTGAGTTCTGGAGCTGGGGAGAACGGATCTAAATCAGTCTGAACAACGTGAGGACCTGAGGCAGCAGATGTGGGGCTCAGGTAAGGCTAAGAAAGCACCTCCAGGTAGCAGTACCTGTCCTTTGATCACTTTAAAAAGAGCTGAGAGGCTGCATCAGCTGGGCTCCTCTCACAGCTGACTTTTTTTCTGAGCAGAACCAAAGAGCAAGTGACATAACACGAGGCTGTGAGGGTTTTTATGCTGATGAAAGTTCGGGCAGTCGTCGGCAAACATCGGCGTGTAACACACGTCCTGCTCTGGCCAGCGGGTTTGATGCAGTAAAAGGAGCGATGGAGAGAAGGAGGGGGATTGAGGGAGGCAAGGTTCATCTGTACACAACGATTGGCTCGGCGGTGCAAATTGGTGGCGGCAGAGTCATGCTGTGAGGATGCGTTTCTTCACCAGGATCAGGGAGGACGGTCAGAGAATATCGAACCACAAACAGTTTGAATCAAATGTGCTATAATGGTCCTGTCAAAGTCCAGACCAACACTGAATCTGTTGCGAGACTTGGAAAAGTGATGCGCATTGACTCTCTTCAGCCATTCTGTCTGAGCTTGAGTTAGTTTGAGAAAATATTGGACAAGAATATTGGTTAGTGTTTAGATCTGCAGACGTGGTAGAGAGAAAAACCCAAGAAGATTCTCACTGAAATGGCAGCAAAAGACGGTTCTGCAAAATATTTACTCAGAAAAGCTTAAAGCAAATAAAAGGACATTATCTGCGAAAAAAAAGAGATAAAAATCATACTTCCCCTTTAAAAATATGTTGGTTTATCATAGAAACTCCCAATACAATCCATTGAAATTCCATAGACTGTGACAAACATGAAGGAGTATTAATATTATTTCAAGCTACTGTATTTCCTGACATTCACGCTGTCCCTCCTGCAGCTTTACAACAGAAATATCATGCACACATACAGAGCCCCAGGTGGTGGAAGCAAAAAGTCAATAAAACTGCAATTCAGTGATTGCATTCTGCCTGAGGACGACATGTAGCTGAAATCTCCAAAACAACAAGAATTTCAGTCTGTGTGTTTTCCTCCTGTTGATGAAAAGATGTCTGGTGACGCAGAGCTAAGAAAAGTTTCAAAAAGCAAGATTTAAGAGTTGAGAACTAAAATATGGAAACCTTAAGAGTTACTTAAGATTTTACTGTCAGCAGTAGAGTTTACCACCTGCTACAAATGTGATTTCATGTATCAAAGTAAAATCATTTAATCAGAATATTTTTTAGGATGGGATAGTAAAGATAATTTTATATATATAGCACATTTTCAGCAACAAGCCAAGGCAAAGTGCTTTACAGGATTTAAAAGGAAATAAACCAAAGAGCAAAAGAAGAAAAAGCTAATAATGCTGATAAATAAACTAGGGCTACTAGAGCTTAATTAGTTTATTCTTTTAGAAATTTAAAGTCTATGCAGATAAAATTCACAATAACACTGCACAACAAAAAAGGGCATCACTTATTGGTTTTATTTACATTATATAAAAAACATTACATGTTTCTTGATAATCAGCAACAGAAGACATCTTATACTTTCTCTGCAGCTTTTTAATTGATTGTTTCCATTGACTATTTGACAAAGACCTCAAGGTGTGAGGTGTGAACACCTCCATGCCATCACCATAATCCTTAGCTCCTTCCACCAACTTTATATCTACAAGATGCTTTCCATTCAGACGAAACATATTGGTAAACATAAATATATCTAAGCAGCATGTATCTATGTATTACTTAGACTTTAGTCTGTTAGTATTTGAATAATTTGGCATTTAAATATAATCTTTTGGATGCATTTAGTTGTCATAACTTCTACAGTCCGTTTTTGGTTCTATGTGCTTATAAGGTGATAAACTTATAGATATATTTTCCACATATCAAAACAAGTCTCCTCAACTGAACAATTTGTTATATGTGTAACAACATGAGACACACAAATTATCACTTCAGAATCAAAAAACTAAACCCCATGGAAAACTGTGAGCCAGTTTACTTTGCTAAAGAAAACAAATCGTAGAGACTAAATCTAAGCTGCCTGGTAGATGATAAAAGTAAAGCTCAATCCTCTCGTCTCCTCAAATTAAAGCACTTTAACCTGCTAGTAGCTGATTATAACACATGCTTAAAGCTACTTCCTTGGGAGTTACACATCGAATGAAGACATCATTTAGCTTTGGCAGGACTCTCATCTGGACTCTCTACTAGCGGCTGAAGCTAATTTTAGTTTAACAAGGCTGTCGACACAGTTATGGCCTCTTGGGGCAGATAGAGGGAGTGAGAGGATGGCAGAGGTCACAATAAAGTAATCCTGGCTGCACAGCTCACAGCCAAAAATTAGTCATTACACTCTGACTCAAAATGTTTGGACTCAACATGTTGGATGTTTTTCACCACCCAACATGTTTCTTTTTCTTTGGCATTTATTTTTTTGTGTGCAATCAATCATACCTGACAGTTTGAGAACACACAACAAACAATGTTCAGACATAATGAATACTATGAAGAAGTATTTGCTAAGTTACAAACTTCTTATGTTTCGGCTTATTCGTCTAAATATACTCTGACAAATAATACAAAAGCAGTTTCAAAATTATTTCAATCATAAACCTGTACATGAAGAAGATGAGGTTCAAGAAAAATAAAGTTACTAACATCAATTAGTCTGTAAAATGTTTAAAATATATTCCAGTAGCTTTGGGATTCAAAGAGAAGTGGATTCATTCACCACAAATAGAGAAATCATGGAAAAGTAATGAATCTTCCCAGAAATGCACAGCCAACCAAACTTACTCCTACAGTATAACAACAATTCGCCCAGGAGGTCACAAGGTCAGAGTTCATGATTCTTAATAAAAAAAATAGGAACAACAAAATCTCGCAATTAACTGTAAAACATCTAGATGGCTCCCAAGACTTTCAGACTAGCAACAACTGGAACATTTTAAAGTGTAGTTTTTCTTTTATTGTGCTTGTTTCTTTGTTATTGTGCCTGTGTTGTTGTTTTTGTTTTTCTTCTATTTCATGCAAAGCACTTCAAACGAACGTGTTGCTGAAAAACTGCTGTATAAATAAAACTTCTTCCTTTTCTTCTTCTTGAGTTATGTAACGAACCGGCTGTTTACTGATTTAATGTCGTTCCCTCAATTATCTTCTTAACTTTATTCTAACATTTAGACACAATAACTGACATATGTCTCGATAATATTTCTGTATCTTTGAAAGCTCAAGTCGCCCTGAGGAACACACGAAGTGAGCTCCAGAAAATGACGTGCCTTTCATTATGACTTTGATGAAGCCCTCAGACCATGACTTTTTCCTCTGCATATATTTGAATAATAAAAGCTTATTAGAGCTTCAAAGACCAGAGTGTCATGAGCTGTGTAAATTAAAGGCTTGCAATAAATTTTTATAATTAACAGCCTTGAAAACATCTTAAAACTTTGCTATAAATCCCCAATGGAGCAACACCCAAACGCTCCTGCAGACATGCAGGATGGTTTGCAACATGAGCCCAGTGGTCTGGTTTCATCCTCCCATGGCGACATCCATTAAAGTCATGCTGCGTCTGACCCTGCACCCTCAGACAGCCATATTAGCACCTGGCCTATTGGCTACAACAATACACCTGTCTGCATTATTCAGGCCGACTCTGCTAATGAGGAAACCTTATCAGTCGTGAGCGCCGTCCCAGGCCTGAACAGATGGGCTGACGTCGAGCTGCTGCAGGCCTTTCGGATGTCCTCATTCACAGAAAAGGGTTTTTAAAATCTGATTTATATGACACAAAAACACACAGTAGTGTATAACTGTGAGCAGAAAGAAAAATAAGTTTTTTTTTAAAATAAGAATTAAAGCTGCAGTTCGTAACTTTTATTAAAAATATATGTTTTGTACATATTTGTTAAAATTATCATTATAAAACAGATTTTTGTAAAAACTCTAGCTCCTCTGCCTTCTCCCAGTCCTCCCAGTACTAACTGCAGAAAAACATTGAGTCAGGAACAACCAATCAGAGAGAGGAGGAGGGTTTCAGCGCTGTTAATCACTCTCATGCTCAGCTCATCCCGTTTTCTCTTTGCTAAGCTAAACTGGTTCACCACAACATAGCTTGCCAGAAATGCTAAGGCTAGTTAGCACAGCCTCCAAACAGTCTTCCTGTCAGAGTAAGATGTTTTCCACCATTAGCTCATTTAGCATCATACAGGAGGATGATTGACAGCGCTAAGACCCTCCCCCTGACTCTGATTGGTTGTTTTTGACTGGTGCAGACTGCAATAGTCACATGGGGAGGAGATGATCTATTTCATATTATACTGTCACAACGTGGTGACAGTTTTAAATTTAAAATTTTTGCAAAAGTTACAAACTGCAGCTTTAATATTCAGTCTGACTGAACCAATATTTTAACCTTCCTTCAGCTGCGGTGCTTCAGCTGTAACTCTGGCTGTAAATTCCTGCAGGACAGATTATTGTAGGATTGCTCTGTATTTTGTTGTCTCTGCTGAAGACGAGCGTTCCCACAGCATGATGCTGCCGTTTCACAAAGGAGACGACGTCTCCAACATGACTGCAAATCTTCTACGAAACACATTTTCATTCTCAGTTTGCTGTTTGCATATGAAGTCTGTTCGGCACTTTGGTCAGTTTTGTTGTTTTAAAAATGCTTCTGAATAAATCTGGCTCGGCTGCAGACGTATCCCGGACCTCGTGGTTGATTCTCTGATTGATGCTGCCTCTTCCCAGCCTGTTGGTTCAAGTGGACAGCCATGTCTTTGTATTTCTGTCAGGCTCTTTCAGATGTTGGTTTAAACTGTGCTTTGAGATCATAAAAGCTTGGAAAACTATTTTAAACTGATTCTGATTTAAATTTCTCCACAATTTCATCTCTGGCCTCTGTTTTAATTCTGTCTTCTTAATGATACTCATTCACTGATGTTTGCCAACGAGCTTCTGAGGTGTTTAAAGAATAACTTCATACTCAAATTAAATTACACACAAGTGGCAATACTTACTAACAAGGTGACGTTAGATT